AAAAAATTTTCCTTCCAAAGTTATACCTCAAAGAATTCGAAAAAAAATAAATGAAAAGCACTGTTTTCATTATATCTGTTCTCAGTTTTAGCTGACAGCAAACAATTAGTAACTGTTTTAAGAACTCACTCTAAGTACGTAAAGATACTTGACCTTAACTTAGAATAAAAAATGAAACCAATCCCAACTATTCCTAAATTTGACAATTTAGACCTATGGAGAGGAAATAAAAAGCCCCCAACTCGTTACTCAACAAAGATTTTTAGATAAACGACTTTGGCAAACCAACCCGGCCCAAGGAAATCACACTAAAAACTTTAAAAAATCCTACAAAACATTCTAAGTTCAGGCTCTATACTGTACCTCAATGACCGAAACGTTTTTGCCTTCTTCGTTCTCAAAGGCCAGGTCTGCCCGGCCCTAAGTGGCGGGGACTCCCATGGGGGCGCCGAGGCGCTCTCGGCCTCTGCCCGTCATTCTGGGCCGAGCCTAGCTGGCTCCGGGGCGCGGACCGGCCACGGGCGACGCGGGAGCCTCCCTCACTCACCGTGAAGCGCTGGTCGCCGATGCTGCCCACGGAGAAGCAGTGGTCGCCTGGGTTCACAGCCCCGGTCAGCACCTGGTGCAGGTTCATGTCGGCTCCTTAATCCTGCAACGGACACCGCGTCCAGCTCATGCCTAGGGTCAGCGGCCGCTTCCCTCCCTCCTTCCTTTAGGGGCGGCGGCCGCTCTTCGGCGGCGACGGCAGCAGCGACAGGCGCCAAGAGCCGGAGCGGCTCAGCTGGGGCCCACGCCTCACCCAGAGCCCGGGCGGGCCAGGCCCGGAGGGGGCGGGCCGGCGAGCGGGCGGAGCGCAGCGCTCCTCCGCGCACCTGTCACTGTCCGCGCCGGCCCAGGTGAAGCTAGGGGTCCACTCACCGGCCGCGACCTGGGGCCGACTCACGGGCTAGCAGGGCCGCGCTCTCCACACACTTCCTCTGGGCCTCGGGAAGCCGGCCCTGTCTGAGCCCGAGTGGCGCAGGCAGCACGCGCTCTCCCCTCGCCGCCTGACCTGTCCCTTCCCGGCACCGGTGCCCGCCACCCTTGCTGTCCTCCGCCGCTCTCTACGCGTCTTTGGGTCTCTTCGGCCGAAATATCGCGAGATTTCCCTCGGCGAAGGGGCTTACTGTGGTAAAGGACTGACTTTTTTACCACAGTATACACATCCGCAAGTGGATATAAAAACGCCTGCTCTCGTCAAAAATTGGCCAATCCCAAGCTCCGGACCTAGGGCTCCGCCCGCTAATGAGAACAGACCAGTATCTTTGAGGCTTGTGAAAGAAAACGCTGTCCGTTTTGAGTGTTGGACATCATGGGCCTAGTAGAAGCATAATGAACCCAGAATGAGGTGAGAGTTATAAAGTTATACTTTAGGTTAGGGCTTATCTAACTGTTGGGCCAGGAAGTTTAAAGGGCAGAAGTGCGTTCTAAATGGCATTGCAGGTCCCTCGGTCCTGGTAGGACTACAAGTCCCAAGGTGCACCGCTTCTCTAGGCAGCCCGAGAGTATCTCTAAGTAAAAGGGACCCTTGAAACGTCTGTGTTAGCAGAATATTGGTTTCTCCAGACTCACGCGCGTTTCCGACTGGAGAAACCAATATCTAGGATGATTTTGGAATGGCTTAAACATTTGACAAGTACTAAAGTGGTATTTCTTAAAACTAAATTTATCTTAACGTATGTTTTGAAATAATACTAATAACACCGCACCAACCCTACCTTGAGCGTTTGTTTTGACAAAGAACCTAAGAATTCCAGAATGATCAGTGTCACAGCTACCAACTGTGAGATTCAGCTCTCATTGTATTTTGACACAAGTTTTGTATTATAATCGACAAACATCTGTTTATATGTCTCCCCCTAATATACTGTAAGCCTCTGAGGGACAGACTGTGTCCTCTGCCCAGTTGTTGGTTTTGAAGGGCATTTCAGGTAACAGAATAAAAGAAACTAAGAAACCTAGTAATTCAGAAATCTGAGATCTATTCCTGATCTTAAATTAACTAGCTGCGTGTGACCTTGGAAAAGTCTGTTATGACTCATTTTCCTCATCTGTAAAATTAGGAAGTTTAACTTGATTGTCAAGAACATTTTGTTTGGCATTGTGATTTCTAAAACTCTGTGCATCTGTTAATTTTTATTTAAATTCCTTACCTATAAGTATGAGCTCTTGAGATAGACTGTCTGAATTTGAATCCTGGCCTAACCACTCACTTGAACAGGTTACTTAATTTCTTTGTGTTTTACTTTCCTTCTCTATAAAGTGGGAATAATAGAATACTTTCCTCATATAGTTATGAGAATTAAATGAGAACAATGTTTGCCACATAAGAAGCATTCAATAAATGTTAGCTGTTATTATTATTATTATTCCTAAATAAACCTAACCTTTTGACATAGTCTTTCTAAGGTTTTCCAAATAGTGTCAAACCTCAGTCCAAATCAAACTTCTCAGCAATGTTTGAGATGCCACCAAAGTTCAGAAGCTATCCCAGTCTGGATCCAAAACTATAGATTTAGAATAGATAATAAAAAGCAAGGGCGTTCTTATGCTTCTTATTCGTCAGAAATCCTTATGCTACGTTATTAAACTGCACATTAAAAGACCTATCTTTGATCTGCAGCAGATGAACTGTTTCAATGAAACACCTAAATGCTTGTAATTTAGCAGGAATGAAAAATCCTCCAACTATGACCTCTCAAGTCTTTTGCAAAAAGATCCAAACAAAAAACTTTGATATTAAACAGCAAACTATGAAGAGTGGTCTTATACTATCAACATGATACAGTGTTCTAAGGAAACCACACAGTAAAATCCTAAACTGAGAGACAAAGTAAAGTGGCAGGAGCACTAGTTGAGGAGTCAGGACAATTCAAATGCTAATTCTGTCACTGCCAGTAACCCCAAGTGACCTTGGAAAAGACATTTTAACTCTTTAGACACTCAGTTTTCCTGTCTTTTTTTTAAATTTTATTTTACTTTTGAGACAAAGTCTTGTTCTATTGCCTGGGCTACAGTGCCGTGGTGTCAGCCTAGCTCACAGCAACCTCAAACTCCTGGCCTTAAGCAATCCTTCTGCCTCCGCTTCCCGAGTAGCTGGGACTTACAGGCATGTGCCACCATGTCCTGCCAGTTTTCCTATCTTTATCATGAGGAGTTTGGCCAAGATGACCAATAGCAAGGGTTGGCAAACTGTGGCCGAGTAGGCCAAATTTGGCCTGCTGTCTAGTTTTGTGTAGCCCTTGAGCTAAGAATTTATTTATTTATTTATTTATTTATCTATTATTTTTTTTAGTGACAGGTCTCATTATGTTTCGAACTCCTGGGCTCAAGCAATCCTCCTGCCTCAGCCTCCTGATTAGCTGGGATAGGCATGGGCCACTGCACCTGGCTAAGAGTGGTTTTTATGTTTTTAAATAGTTGAAAAAGATTGGCTGGGTGCGGTGGCTCACTCTGGGAGGCCAAGGCGGGGGAGGATCCCTTGAGCTCAGGAGTTCGAGACCAGCCTCAGCAAGAGTGAGACCCTGTCTCTACTAAGAATAGAAAAATTAGCCCAGGCAACAGAGTGAAACTCTGTCTCAAAAAAAAAAAAAAACAGAAAAGAAAAAGATTAATAGAAGAATACTAATGTCATGGTACATGAAAATTTATGAAATGCACATCTCCACAAATAAAA